TGCCGCCATCATGTACATCCAATCAAAAATAGGCTTTTTAAGAGAACATCTGAGCTTGAAAATATATAACTGCTAGCTCATGGATGAGTCAGGTTAATTGAACAAGTAGACATTCCTTAAACTAGCTCACATCAGCTAGATGCTAGATAGCTAAAAATAAATGCGTCAACAACCGAATAAAAAATTGTAGTTGTCAGGCTAAATATCCTGGTTTAAAAACACCTCATTCGGAGCCAGATGTGTCTTCGCAGTTGTGGGTTCCTGTCAATCCACGTGAATGACCCTAATGAGGTGTGATCACGTAAAACCGACAGCACAGGTCGGCAGGTTCAGGGAAAGAGACAATGCACATGAACTGTTGGTTTCCAAACACCAGTTGTTAAAATACATCCCAGTGCATTTATGACTGTGACATAAGTTGGAGGAGCAGTGTATGAGCAGCACATATACAAATACATATCAAAACAACATCATATTTGCATTTAACAAGGATAATTGGCTGATTAAATGGTTAAATAACATGATAAAAATTATATCATGACGTCAATTTGTTGTTCCCTCGAGGGAAACTGATCCTGTAACAGCCGTTAGAAATACACCAGAAGATATGTCATACAGCACGTAAATACATAAACTCACAGGGAATAATGAAAAGAGACAAACTAGTCCTCGAGGCAGGAGAGAAAAAAAGGAGATTAACAACTTTGCAACGTTAGAATCACTGACACAGAATTAATATTTGTATCTGAATTATTCCAAGTTGTAAAAAGTCTGTCTGTAAGTGATCAGCGGTTCATCATCACAAAACTCTTTCTGTTCATCCCTCTCTCTCTCTCTCTTCCTCTCTCTCAGTTCTCTCCTTGCTGCTCTTCTCCTTCCTGCTTGTCGTATAGCGGATGCCTGTCTGTCCACTTGTCCTCTCGTCCATCCGTCCTCTCGTCTGTCTGTCCTGTCCGTCCTGTCTTGTCTTGTCTGTCTGTCTGTTAGTGTTGTTGTTGCCGGGACAGATGCACTGATGCCTGTGATTCGATGCTTTATCTCCACTAGCTCCAGTGTAGGTTGGAGGGGCTTAAAGATGATCGCAGGAGGACCTTCAGCTCTCGAGTAACTATCCCGCCCCCCCTTCCCCACCTTTGCCCTTTGCCCCCACCCTCCTCCGAGGAGCGCGCAAAACAAACGCCCTGCTCTGTGTCCACCCACCCCTTCCTACCCTCGCTTGCCTATAGCTTTCTCTCTCGCTGTCGCTCTCTCGCTCTCTCTCGCTCTCTCTTTGATTGTCTCTCTACCTTGTCTGTTGCCACCGGTCTCGTCGTTCTCAATCTGTCTGTCGTTCACTCTCTGTCCGGATTCTCCCTTTTCTCCGTCTCCCACGCACACTTTTCCCGTCCCTCGTTGTTCAATATTTCTCTGTCCGTCTGTCTTTCTTCCTTTCCCTCCATCCGTCTGTCTTTCTCTGTCTCCTGTCTCTCCGGTTTAACATGCTCTGCTTTCACTAGCTCTGTCTGGTGTGCTGGATGTCTGTTTAAGTAAAATGCCATCAGGCCGCTCCAGTGGTCTTTTATTGTTTCCGTTCTTTTTTCTCCCTGTTTTCCCTCCTTTCTGCTGTGTCTCGGCTCTGTAGTTTAGTGAAGTCTGTCTAGTCCGTGCATCCTGTCTTTGTTTCTTTTTCTTTTTTCGTTTCCGGGGCTTTGGGACCACATCATGCTGATCCTCATCCTCCCACCCACCCACCCACCCTTTGTCTCTCTATCTGTCCTACTACCTGTCGTTTTCTATCTCTCTCTCTGTCCATCCCTCTCCTTTCCCACCTCCCATCTCCCACCCTCTCACCTTGGCTGTTTGGTGCCCAGTGGTGTCGCAGTATTAGCCTGTAGTTATGCTAGCGGTGAGGGAGGGGAGGAGAGAAGATGGGGTGGGTGGGCGGGTGGGTAGAGAGACCTTCACCTTCACCACGGGTGCTTTGGTTCTCCATACACCACACACTGCCCACACCCAACTTATGTGATACCTCCAGAGGTTATTGAGATGCAGCCGTTCAAGAGAGGAAGGAAGGACTGTCGGAGCTCATAGGACACGTTGGGCCAAACATCCAACGAACAATAAACAAGAAAGAGATCGGTTATGTCATGAGAGGGCGTCAGGAAGGCAAGAATCAAACACCACAGACTCATGCCCAACTGACCTTTGGCCAATAGATGCTGTTGCTAAATAACTTTCCTAAATCTTTGCACCTTTGACTGTAAAACGTTAATTTTGGCTAAATTGAAATACTGTCACTGCCCCCACTGTATCCTATAACTGGGCCTGTACTGTGTGTAGGTGCATAAAGAATAATGATGCCAGAATTCTGTGCCAAACATATAGCCGATTAAACCGCAGCCTGCGATTCTCTATTACTTATTTACTGTCTCCCTGAGGCTGAGATTCCCAAAAGCATGTTCACTTACGCAGACTGTTAGAACTGTTGTCGAGCAATTTAACATCAACATACATCACCCTCATGTTAGTTTATCATGATTAAAACATGTTCAGCAGGAGGTTGGTAGTTTCTAATGGCAGTGACCAGATGAGAAGGACCACTGATATGTCCATGTACCACCTGCTGTACAGCCTCTGGCTTTCATTTGCCACTAATTCTCTGCATTTAAAGAGAATCTGTGTTTTCACTGCGTTTGCGCACACTCAACATCACTGATGACTGAGGTTGGGTGTGAACAGAAGGGTGCAGTATCCTGGAGCTCACCTGCAAGCAAGGTGAGAAGTTAAACCACTGTAGACTGTTAAGTTCCTCTTTAGACAGTGTAAGGACAGAATAGACTGAAACATGGATGTCTAAAAAGTTGCCGTTCTATGATCGAGACACAAAAGCAAGAATATCTCCAGCCTGAGAACATCTCAGACAACTAAAGAAAAGTATTTAATCTTTGGAAAAAAAACATTCTGCTCTCCTTTTGTAAAGTTTAAATGGCAGTGGTACCAGTTTGATTGATTGTTAACGGCAGAGAGATGACAAGGAACGTGGAGCAAGACGGGGAACAACCATGCAACAAGGCTCCCCGACCGGAATCTAATTGGTGGATGTCGGGTGCCAAGAACCCCTGAAGGCCTCCAGGACACCATGTTTGCTTCCACACCTACTGCTAAAACATGACAATTCAAACTGATTAGTAAGAAGTATGGAACTGTGACACAGCAACTATAGAAGATGTTTGACTAAAACCACTCCCACCCTGACAGGATGGTTTATGGGAAATGTGGTCATTACTTTGAGAAACAATGTGAGATTACCTCCAACTGTCTCCATTGTGCTTTTCATTTGTTTTCATGATTATACTGAAGATTTGCACATTTTGATCTCCATTCACTCACGGTGGTTTTGGGAAACTCAGCCCAGTTTGAACCCACTCTGCTCTCCTCCCTTCCTGGCCATAGATTAGACGTAGTTAAGCGCTAGTGCAGCGTCAGCGATCTCCACAGAAACCCCAGTGTTCTGCACCACATCTGAACAGCCACTATCTTTACTCGACACTACATTTCCACTACATTTGATGTTACAGTTAATACATTTATTATGACCTTGTGATACGATATTGTCACTCTGTATGTTGTTGCCTTTGTCCGTATATATATATTTATTTATTTATTTATTTATATATTTATATATATATATATATATATACATATTTATATATATTCAAATGCTTTAATCTAATTGTAGTGTAACATGTCAATGCATTTATCAGTGTGAATACCACCTGTGATATGATGCTGTAGCATACAGTAAGTGATGATAATTGTAATGCAGGAGATGCAGCCATCTCCCAACAGCAGGACAAAGTGCACAGTGTAGTGTGACACGGCTCTTGCCAGTGCTTTCTGACTGTTGTATAAACAGCTTGTCAAAAGAGCAGCCTGGATTCATCTGAAATCACCACTGCCTCTGCTCTCCCCTCTTTCTTTCTCTTTGCCCGTTGTCTCTCGCTCCCAATCGCTCCCTCCATCTCCAGGTGCAGTCACGATGCAACAGCAAAGAAAATATCCTAAGATCAAGTGAGTACTAAGCTCCCGATTCAAAGGCGCGTCGTATCTGCATGTCGCCAAGTGTGCTCTCAAACACGTAGAAATAGATTTTAAATGAGCATGGTTTCTGTATGTGCGTGTGTGTATGTGTGTGATGTTTTGCCAGAGGTTGTTAAGCCTCATGTTAAGCATCAGAATATGCTGTTGAAGCGTAAGTGTATGTTTAAAGGAGAGAAACTGGGTCAAGGGAAAAATCAAAGCACGGCTCCTTTTTCTTCGCTGTGAGGCAGAGAGGCAGTGGGAGAGCGAGGCAGGGAGAGATAAGGAGAGAGAGAGAGCAGATTACACATTAGTTACACCTTGCTTTGTTCCTTTTACCTTTGGAATTATTAGAGAGGTATTATTAGACCAACATGGCTGCTATCGGACACCGCTATCATGCAGCCGGCTTCCGCAGCTTCTGCAAACTAATAGGACTATTTCCTGCCTCTTCATGGTGTTCAAATTGTATTATTACATGTATATGTTCACCAAAAATAAGTCACGTTAATCCAGTTTATATTAATGTGGAAACACAGTAGATTACATATGTTTATTTATGTAATGTGTGTGTATGTCCTGGGTTTTTTAATTTGCCCTTTGCTGCAACCTTGAGTGCTCAGATCATCTTGAGTGTCTTACTAGATTTTATTCTTGTGGCTCTTGAGCTAAAAAAGAAAATTCTTAAAATACAGGTTCTGTTTGCCTCCGGAGATAGTTGAGTGCTTTAGTTTTCCTGCCTTTGGTGCCACATGTTTGAGTCCCAGCAGATTTCTTTCTCCTCTCTGTCTTTTGCTGTCTTCCTCTCAACTTTTAAATCATCTAAATTAAGAATTAAAATGCTAAAATTGGTGAGTGCCCTGCCCCAACTCCAGGATACAAGGATGCTGGTTTAGAAATGTCAAATAATAGAATATAATGTGTGTGATAAGAGTTTATAGTGTCACTCTCAGTTAGGACTTGGGTTGAGCTAGGTTTAAATTCTGGGTCTAGAGTTATGTCGGTAAGATCACTATGTTAACAGCATTTTACTTAAAAAAATATTAAAAGTAAAAGTTTTGGTGTGTAACTTTAAAAACAACTGTGTGATTTATATAAAATTATTTTATGTTATTTTATGAAGAACATGTATATGTGCACTGTAAATACACACTGTCATTATTTTGGGTTAGAGTTCGATCTTTGACCGTGTATATAATGTCTTGTGTTTTCTCAGGTCACAGTGCAGTGGACATCACCAAGGTAGCCCGGAGGCACCGCATGTCCCCCTTCCCCCTCACCTCCATGGACAAGGCCTTCATCACTGTGCTGGAGATGACCGCCGTCCTGGGCACTGAGATCATTAACTACAGAGGTGAGCAGGACAGATGTTCGTGTCCCTTTTAAACTGTGGAGCCGGCAAACAAAAGAACGCCGGAGGTAAAGATTCCCTGCAGACAAGCCCTCCTCACTCACACCCACGCGAATGTCCCGAATTCGTCAATCTTGCCCCTTGGCATCTTCCCATCACACCTTGCTGACATCAGCGACGGAGGTCGCCGGGATGTTGACGTATTGCACCTTTCAGATCGATACAGCGACATGCGCTTGCTAAGTTCACATGACAGCATTTAAATACTCTCTGTCTGCAGCGGGACACTTTACTGAATCAGCAGACTCAGTCTGCAGGCTGCGGTGTCAGTCACACAGTCAAAATGCACAAACACACACACACACACACATACACACACTTTCTTGGCAGCATGAACACATACATAACAAACCTTGTGTAATGATGCACATCCCGAAACACCCGTGCGTGCGTGAAGCTCAGAGAACACAAGTCTTTATGTGTTTAAACACGTTTTGGCAACTGACCTGGACATTTGCTTTCTCACTAAAACCCCTCTGGAAATTTTCGGGAACAATGTCCGAAGTTCAGAGCATGTCGTAAAGCAGCTAAAGTCTTTACATGTTTAAGTTGTGGGGTTGGTTTTTGTCAGAGGAGTTATTTTAGCACCTGAGGGTCTCGTCGTCCTTCTGGCACAGTAGCCTCAGCACCAGTGGAGGGTGACACAGCACCAGGCTCTGGGCCAGAGGAGAACTAGACAAAAGAAAAACACACAATCTGTAATTCATCTTGGAAGACGAGGTAGCAAGTACTGGGGGCAATAATGGCCTGTGGTGCACATGACTTCTGGATCAATGGGGGGAGAAGGAGCACTCTGTCTTTTGCCAAGTGTAAAGGGATGTTTCATGTTCTTGGTAAGAGGGGGAGTCAGTTTCCGGGGTTTGAAGGAGGACACAGGAAGAAGGGAATAAATATTCAGGCAGAAAAGAGCTGCAGCAGCTCCCCTGCTGGATGAAGACAGACCTGCAGGTGTGTGTATAACGAGAGTGCACTGTGGGTTAGTTAGTGAATCGACTTTATAAATGATAAACGAATAAATGTATTTTCTCAAAGGATTCTTTTATTTTATCCTCTTTCATTTCTTTTGCTACAATTTCTCTTTTGTCCACTTTTATTTTTTATTCATTTTCTACTTCTACTACTTTGCTTCTGCAACAAGACATCACATGGGTTTTAATGCACAACTCGGCTTTAACATATAGATTTACCTGTGGCAGCCTGGGAGGAGTAAAAGA